AAAGTGAGATAAATGAACAGTCAAAACAAACACCAAATGTTGTGTTAATCTCAAAGGGTAATCCAAGACAAATGCTAAACAAACCTGGTAGAGTCTAAAGGCTACACAGAAGCCAAAGTGTCCTTCAAAAGGCTGTTCTGCTTTCCGAAACAGGACAGCCAGAGCACAGGGATGAGGAACAAGATGAGCGGCACAAAAAGGAAAGGCACTGAAATCATCTGAAGTACATCTGTGACAGCAAATCAAAAGACATCATAAAATTAATTAGAGGCCAGCAATGTTCCAGTGCTCAGAAGCTATTCACACATATTGCACAGCAAAACCTGGTTTGTTCTCTGGTGTGCCGTTGTCTTTGGAAGCCTTGAGGGGCTGGGATCTGGGCTTAAGTCAGTCCCAAGACAGACAGCAGAGCTGCTTAACTACCTGCTGTGAGTTACACACTTCAGCAGATAAACGTGCCAGTCCTACACATGGGTTCAAGATTCCCTTTTGAACCACCAGAAGTTTCTGTTTCAATTCAGTAAACGCATCATTTGGCACAAAATTAAGGAGGGAGGATGCAATTTTAAAGCTGCTTCTGAAAACAGTGGAATATGCCCAGATTACTATATAAATATTCTGGAATTGCTACAGTTTAGGAATTTAGCTACTGTTACATACACTCCTGCACTTGCTGGCCTGGAAATGCCTCCTGGCCCTGTACTTCCTTCTAGAGCTGGTTTATGCAAGCAGCAATTGAAAGCATTCTCCATCAGGTCTCTCTCATTTGCTATCAGACACAGTAGATTTCAATGCAGCTTCTTCACAAAGACACAAAAGAGCCACCACAAACGTATCTGCAAAGGCTGATGGAGCCTAACATGAGCTTAGGGAATGAAATGATCTTTGAGGAAAGACAAAGACAGTGAGAGCAGCAGAACCAGCAAGACTGACACAGAGGAAAAGACAGTACCTAGAATGTACCTGTTCAGCTGAGAGAAGAAACCCTGCTCCAGATTGTCAGTGTTCAGACTTTCACAGCCAGACAGCATGAAACAGCTTAATGCAGCATTAAAGTAATCCCAAGACACATTAAGAGTAAATAAGGATGGAAATGGTACCCCTAAGGTCCTTTCCAACCCAAACCATTCTATGATAATGTGGCAGCATTTCACTGTCATGTCAGCACCACACTATTAAAGGTTACCATGAGCCGCATCTACCTCTGCTCCTTCACACCCAAAACTATAGCAGGGTACCTTCCCCTGCACACAGAAAGCTTTCACCTCTTCTGGTCACTGCTGGATTGAAGAGCTGTTGTGACAGGGCAGCAGATACAGACAGGCACTGTTCACAAGCCTTTCTGGGTTCACAGCTATTCCTCACAATCAGCATCAACACAATTGGGCCTATCCAAACACCAGGAGCTAACTCAGGATCCCCAGGCTCTCTCTTGTTACCACAAGCTGAAGGATACAGAAACACACACGTGCACTACTCATGGTACTTACTATGGCAGGCAGAGCGTTTCCAGCTATGAAAAGCTTCCTTTGCTTTCTTTAAGCTTGGAATACACACTACTAATGCTAATACATGGCTATGCACTTCATTTAGGAAATGCTGAGTTTTGGTAGCATCTAACATGGGGGGGAAGAGGCAGGGAGCCAGGAAAACTTGTTAAACAGTGCATTTTCAGATCAGCAACCCTGAAACTCGTTGCTCAGAACAGCTTCTTCCCTCCCTGTTCTGCTAGCACACCAAGAGCTGTCAGAGGGTGAAGAGTTCAGGCCAGTGCAGCAAACCTGATCCCAGGAAGAAGAGTTCACCCATTGTGGCAAAAAACAACAGACTTTGTGTGCTGGAGAGGTTAAAATGGAAACATTCTGTATGTGCCTCTTCAGGATGAGCCACCAAATGAAACTGCATCACTACTACAGCCAGTGACTGGAAAACACACTGATGGAAACTGATGCTATCTTTTGCCTCTCACTCCTACCCATGAAAACGTCCTTATGAGCACGTTGCTGCATGTTTTTTGCAAGGGGGGAGAAAAATCACTAAGATCCATTGATCAAAACAGATAATGAATAATCAAAATGGATGAAAAATAATCAAAACCATCCATTAATTTTACTTTATTTCCTTTAATTAAGCTCCTGTGTCTCCATCTAGATCCACAAGGTCTCCCCTTTCTGGAGATCCCTACTCTGCTTATATTCTAAGCTATGGATGTAGGGCTGTAAAAAATCAACAGCAAACAGACACTTGTGAAATGCATCACACGCAGTCCCGCCGCTCTGGGGCTTTCAACAGACCTCTGTGTGGAATGAATTAAACTGGGGGGAAGACGTTACCTATGTGTAGTGCATGTTGGTACGAAAGAGTCTTCAGAACAGTAACCAACAACTCCATTTACCAAATATGCTGCTTAAAAAGAAAGAAAAAGATTCACATTGACAATGAGAGAGTTGGGAGCTAAAAATAAGCAGGCAGCTGCAATTCCCACCTTATGCAACGAGGCAGAAGTGCTGCTTTGTCCCCCTCCCCAAGCACACACACACACACACACTCACTTCCTTCTTCATTGCAACATCAGAAGCTGCACTTGATGTTAACCAAGCCGCAAAGTCCTGCCCAGGATTTAAAGTCACACCCCAGTAATTACATAAAATAAGCTCCTGGTACAAGTGGTTAAGAGAAAAAAAAAAAAAAGACAATTAATTTACTCCACTTCCATTTTGCTTTTCATGCCAAAGTGGCCTGACTGCTCATAAAATAGAAAAGCAATTTTCATTTCTGAGGTCTGCTCCCTCCACCCAGATGTGTCACTAAACCTCACCGCAGAACATCAGCACGTTCATCACACGGGGATCAACCCCCTCCAAACATGCAGCCTATTAAGGAGAACATTTGAGGTGTATTTCATCTTCGTTTTTGAATGTGAAGCATGAAGGAGGACAGGGATAGTGGGGGAAGGAGAAAAAACACAGGAAACCTAGGAAAATACAGAAGTAAAACTCCCTTGTGCACATGTCCCACTCAGAAGGTGGCTCTGGACATGACAGGGATGTACAAAAGCAGCAAAGATCCTCCAAAGTCTTTGCAAGCTTCCACTAAAAAAGGCAGTGCTCTCCTCTGAGCTGCCCTAACAAAGGGGCAGCACACGCCAACACAGGAATATAACCCCCCCTTACATCATATACAGCTTCCTCCTAAGACAGAATAAATCACACTCCAGTTACCCAAAAGATTGTGCTCCACTGATACCCTTGCACTAAAAGCAGCGACTGGAAACCCACTGAGATGGCTCCAGGTCACACAGCTCATGTTAACCCACCTCCAAGAGAGAACACAGCCCCATGGGGCCCAGCAGCCTGGGCAGGGTGTGCCACAAACCCAACCAGTAACCAACACCTTCCTTACTGCATGCAATGGGCACCAGTTAACCATCAAAGTGCAAAAAAACAGGGTTAAATACCCTGGCTTTTAAAAACCAACCTAACCAACCTGCTTGTTGTTCCAACCAGGATAGACCCCCTGTGGCTGCCATCCGCTTCATTAGGTCGTTCTGAGCTTTGCACAGCCCTCTCAAGTCAGACCTCATCTGGAGGTAGGTAGATTCCACCCTCCATCCCCCTTCTACTAATAGTACTAGCAAGCAGTTGTGGTTCTGCAACGTCAGCACTAGGAAGTTCCTCCTGCCAGGCAGCCAAGATGAAGATACCTCTTCACATCCACACTCTGACCAGCTTCCACACAGCTTCCGAGCTGCAGCAGTACAAAAGCACAGGGAATTTCATCCGGACACTCAGCTGAGCTTCACAAGTGTTCTTAACTTATGAATGATGGCACAAATGAAGCTGCCTTTTTTGTTTCAGGCAACCAGGAAGACAGACATCATGAACATGAAAGTTCTTTGACTTCCTCTCTATGCACCCTTGAGACTTCACCCACAACTTCACTGAGAGCAGCTGCAAATGCCTTTTGGATGGGGAGGCCCTGCCACCAGAAGCCATCATCATGGTTCCAGTTCCCTGGATGGCTTTGGAAGCTCAGCAGTGCTCAAGAAGGTTTCTCTGGTGCTGCACTGCTCAGCTCAACTAAAGATCTGCCGAAAAGAAAGCAAGCAAACAGAAACCTTCCTCATTTCCATTAATGAAACAGTCCATTTGAGCAAAATTAACATGCATTGGTGCTTCCCAGTCTAATTGTAGGTTCTTGGTTATACACTGCAAGTAATTCTCACACCTCAAGAATAAATAGGACTTAAGAAATAACTTTTCACCTTCACATGATTCCTGTCATAGGGTGCCATAAGCAGATGTTTTACAACTGCATATCTGGGTAGGAAATAAACCTTTGTGTCTGGCAACACCCATTTGCTTACATGGCATCACCTTCCAGTCAGTATTTCAGTGCCTATGAGACAAGCATTCTGCTTGGGGTTTTCCCCCCACTTCTTAAGGCAGGGATATCGTTATATGTGGACTATAAAAACACTGAACAACTCACGCACAGCAAAATACATCAACCTCTCACAAAGTCCTTCCCTGTTTGTATCACATATCTAAACACAGACCCATTTTAAAGTAAAAGCATGTGCAAAGAACGAAAAGCACCAAACCTGGGTTCCCTAAAACACTGATCAGAAAATAAGGTAAAACACAGGGAAAGGAGATGTTTTAAGTGTGATTCACATCACCTTGGGCTCCAAACTGCAGGGGAAGACACAAGTGCTGTTAGACCCAACTAGGGCACAGGAAACAGAAAGTGAAACTTGCTGGTTTACTCATTAACTTAAACTCCACAGTGGGTTTTGTGATAGATAGTGCTTTATTTCTGTAAGAAAGACTACTCACAGTGTAACTGAGCAGTGCTGCCCCTACTTCCTCAGCAGGAAGCTTCTGCCTTCCAGCCCCATCCTCATTCCCCATCTGTCCCTACCCCAGATCCCTGCCTTTACTACAGGTAACTATTCTGCAGCTGGATTAGTTTTCTCACCTGTATCACACTCTAAAGGTCTCTGCCAGCCCAACTCAGTGGGAGGAAGCAGAGGCCAAAGTAACAGCTGAGTTTAAGTCACCTTAAAATTCCTGTTCATTCACAATTGATTCCATGCTCCCAAACCCCTGATCCCAACCTCCTCAAGCCCTGTGTTTCAACAGGAACACGAGTTTGTGTTTTTCCTTCAGTCAATACATTCCAGATCTGTCAAGACACAGAAAACAACTTACTGATACAATCATGAAGAGAGCAAACTCCAAAGGCAAATGAAAATGGCTGCGTTTAGACCTCAGTTGTCAAGGCTGCATCTTGACTTTCAAGTACATGAGAGTGGCACTGCTGAGTTTTGAGTGTCATTAAAGTGTAATGAGGTACCACTGCTAATGACAAGGTTTAGTTTTAGAAAACCCTGATATCGAGCCTGTGTGCTTCCTAAAATGGGGTTTTTCTCCTTTTCTTGCCTAACTGCTGGCCAGGAGATCAAATTCTAACAGGTACTTTATAAACACACTGTCAAAGGAGGTTTTAACAACTACGACATGAGCATTCACAGAGAAGTTTCACAGCTTCTCAAAAGACAACCAGAGCTTGAACATCACCAACCCTTAAGAGGCTTTTAACATTTGGTTTACACCTTTTCATACACTTTTAGTGACATGGTTTTGTGGTGTATCTGGAGTCCTGGGGTAAAGGTTGGACTTGATGATCTTAAAGGTCTTTTCCAACGTGGCTGATTCTAATACTGTGCTCTAAAATGTCTCTTGCCTACTGTATTTAACATTTAGTTCAATTTACAAAGTGCAAACAGGGCAGATTAAAAGAGCCAGGCAGATACACAGGGAAATTTCAGCTGAACAGATAGTTATTCTTCTGGCAAGAAAGTGCTAAGGGCTCACCAGTGGCAGAATAAGTAATCATCATGCTGCTAAACTGCCAAAATTCACTCAGGCTGCAGCATGACCTGCATGCAAACCCAGCCATGAAGCAGAAATGAAATGCTCAAGGCAGACTCCAACATGAATGCAGATGCTCCAGTTCTGCTCCAGAGCACTGTGCTCCAGTACTGCAGCAGCCTGTATCTACCCAGAGTAATTGCAGGTGAAGCCAGGAACAGCTCCTATCATAGCTGAAGCTATTAAAGCTCCTTAATGAATGGTCTAACAATAACCCAGGCATAACCAGTTCTCTCATTGCGAGGGCCTTAACCATAATAAGCCCCTTGAACATTCCTATAGTGTTTTCCAAAGATCTCACAGCATGAAGCTACTAACTGTGCTCTCACAGCCTTGTGAGGCAGAGATTACTCAATCTTTTTTTTCTCCTTTCATTTAAATACAGATAAAAAACTGAGGCAAAAGCTAGCAAACGACTTGCCTGTGGATACCCAGCTGACTGGTGCCATGCAGGATCCAGATCTTCCAGATTCCAGCCCTGTCATCAGCCAAAAGGCCATCATTATGAAGAAAGAAATTAGTCTGGTCTTATAAATAGCATTTGAATATAAGCCTGCCTAAAGTATTTGCAAGGAGCTGACCTTAAAACACCAGCAGAGCTGCACTGGTAGCCTGTGGCTCCAGTCACCAGCTTACATGTCACTAGTCCGGGGTTCTTGTCCCTCTGTCTCTCTGGATGGCTCCAGAGCCTGAATCTGATCCAAACCACGCAACAGATCAGACCACAACCTCATCTGACCACTGCTGGCTGGTTTGGGCTCAGCACATCAAGAAACAGGAAGACTGCTCAAAGATACAATGTTGTTCTAAAATACTCAGGTAGCAGGAAAAAGAACCAGGCCTTAGTCAGCAACTTGCTGCTACTTTATTCTGAGGCACTGAACGATCATAGCCAGCCCGGCAGAAATCTCACTGTACCATGCAGCTGGAAGCATGAAACACAGAAAAGGTCCCCAACAGACCTTGATTTTGGAGCATTTTGGTCAGCCTTTATGATCTGAACTGCTGCTATTGGCTATCACACATTTACTTGCAATTTCTCCTGCTCTCGAATGCATGAGTTCAATGTATTTTGATTTATTTCATGTTAATAGAGCGCTAAAAAGAAGCAGGTTCTTTTCTGCAGCAGGGCTAATTCCTGGACTACATTTCCTGCAGCAAAATACTAAACCCAATACGGATTTTGTAACAAAAAAGAAGCCTCTCCTGTGCTTCTGTAAGAGTCTAACTTCATTTGAAATTACATATTCCTGGCAAGGAAACCCCCTAAAATACAACACAGAAAACTGCAAAAGCAGAGTAAAAGTTAAATAAGACTTTGTGAGGTTAAAAAAGTAATTCCAGTAGTTATTTTGGTTTTAGATACCTGCAGTACTACCTCCCACCTACCTGGGCCATTACTGAAGTGCTGAAACACACGACCTATTACAACTGTAACAGGATCTTTTAGTCTCTGGGAAGAGCTGGAAATGGAAAGCTTGTTATCTTCCAAGGGGATCCTCCACAGAGACAAGACACCACACGGAAATGCACACAAGAAATTGAGAAACAGCTGCCTGAACGGAACAAGGAGGTGGAATGTTTCTTTTATTTCTGTTCCTCGCTGGAGCAGCAAAATGTGGTTCGAGGCTTTTTTATGGGTACATAAAACCCACCTGGTTTTGGCTGTCTGCTTCCCAAATGACCCAAACCTCCTGGGTATGAAAACATGAGGCTCTCCCACTTCAGGATCAGGCCTTTTCATGCAGAAGCAGCAGAGTAAAAAACTCAGTGCGTTCTCCCCAGGATGCCAAAACTGTTTGCATTAGTATGCAGTAAAGCACCGCCTGACTGGGGCAAAGCGGATGAGACCTGTTAACAGAGACTGTTTCCATCCCAGGTCACATTTAGGGCTCCATTATCTTATCTGCTCTGCCACTCGCATACTTGCCAGATAAGAAATGCCCCCCCCCCCCCTTCTTTTGAAAGCAGCTTGGTGTTAAAACTGACACGACAACTAACGTTCAGATTAAAAATAAGTTAAAATTCATTCAAGACTAAGATGTTCTGCAAGTGGAAAGGGAGGATTTTCTTGATTTCAGTTCATTTGCATGCTTTAGGTCAACGATCAGTTCATCTGAAGTTGACAAACTGCTCAAGAGTTGGGAGGGGAGAAAAAAATAGCCTGTTTTCCTTTTCCAATCTATGACTAAGAATGAGGCAAGCAAAGGGAGGATCTAAGATCCTGAAGGCGATGGCAACAAGAGGTCATTAGTTAATTCCCTCAGCAATAGATACTACTTCCTTTTATTAAATAACAGCACATTTTTGTGCTGTCACATACTTTTTTCCTTAAGGATACAGCATAAACTTTACCTGAACCAGTCAAAAGAAGCATCAAGGAACATACAAGAAGCCCTGAACTGAAAGGCAGATTGTCACAAACCAAGAAGTAAATAGACTCATCTGATTTATATGCAAAACCCTGAGTTACGAGAGGATTTCCATACCTTCTTACCACCAAAAAGTACCACCAAATTTGGCATAAATATGTTTTAACCAGGGATTTACTGTTCACAAACTGCAGTCAAGTTTTTACTAGAATAAAAGAGACAAACCCCATTCTAAGATTTAAATGAAGGTTCCTGTTGTTGCTTAAATCCTTTTTGATAAAGCTTACTCAGTGTACCCTTATGAACAACTGTTTATTATCTATATTACTACAGCACCTGTGTGCTTCAGTAAGACCTACAAAGCCACAGCAGGAGTGATGCCTGCTCTGAAGAGATTAGCATCATCTAAAAGATGAATAGTTAAGAAACACAGGAGAGCACAAGGAAATAGGTATTTATGCTCTCTGTACCTGCACTTTACTGCTTTCCCCTGTGCACTGGAAGGATCAGGGTGTAAGTTTTCTTCCTCCACCTGCCTCACCACAAAAACCCCTCCAGAAGTCCTGTAAAGACAAACCCCCCATCTAGATGTTTAATGAAACACCCAGTGAGTTCCCATATTCACCCCAGTGCAATGGGCACATCCACAACTTTTGGAAGAGCCCCAGTTGAATTTACTTAAAGGAATTCTTTGCAGATTTACCGCTAGCACACAGGAGTGCATCTACCACACAGCAACAGCCAGAGCTGTTTACAAAGCTTTCTGCTCAGTGTTAGACTGAAAATCCAAACTCTTTTTGCTGTGTAATAAATCAGTGCTCTGCGTTTAACAATTTTCAGCAGCACCATATGCTATGTGGTCCCATATGTTCCATTACAGGGAAGAAAAACATCATCTCAACATGAATCATCAGTGACTATATTCTGTAAATCTGGCTTAAACTCTCACAGCGCTCAAAGGCAACCCCAAATAAATCTGCTCAATTTTAGGCCAGATTCTGTGTACCAGAATTGCAGATCATTTAGTTAAAATTAAGGGGAAAAAAAGAGCTTTAATGTAGGAGTAAGCACACTATTTGCATCTCTCCAGAAGCAGCCTCACCAAGCACAAAATTTGGCACCCATTTATCAATTCCAATCTAATAATGACATCCTGCTCATAAAATGATAATATCTGGTAGTCATAACACCTTTCATCTAAACTGCTTAATGTCTGTGAAAATATGTACACTACATACAAGATTCATTCCTCCCAGTGCTGCAAAGCAGCTACTCTGGAACATGGCATTTGCCATGTTCTGCATCACAGCCATTCTGGAGAGGAGTTTGTAAGAAAAGTAAAAAACCCAAACAAAGCCAAAACAAACCCATGTTTGCATGTCAGGCTATAGGGAAACACAGCAGGCAGTGGGTAGCTTCCTACAGAGAAGTTTATGCAGGACTTTGGGGGTTAACATCTCCACTCTTAAAGTGACAAACAGCTTTCTCTCTCTTCCCAAAGCCACTGCTGCTTGTGCTGAATCAGTCACAAAGGCCTGAAGGCACGGCACGCCAAGGTCACCAAGTGCCCTTCTTCTGAGGAATAACTTGGTCTCTTGGGCAACCCAGCATCAGAATTAACAGAATGACAGCAAAAACGATGTGCAGATGGGGGGGGTTCACTAGTTACAAACTTTAAATGCAACCCGATGAAGATTTGTTCAGCTGAATGAGTTATGTTCTCGAGATTTTGCCCAATTAACCCCCACTATCCAACCATGACCCATTATATTAATATGCAGAAAGACAGACTGAAATTAAGCTTAATTTTGAACTTAATGTCCTTATTTGAAAGCCTTTTGTAGCTCAGGAGGAAGACACGCAACTACACGTTCCCACTTCACTACTGGCTTCATTAAACTCGACAGAAACCAGAGTCCATTTTAACCTAATATTCAAGGTTGGGGAAAAAACAGTAATTACATCCACATCAAGCTATTACCTGTTCAAGGGCATAAGTGCTTCATTAACAGCTCAGACAAACTTGTTTTGTAAGCTGCCTAGATTAAATATGAAATTTCCCTGCCCTTACAAATCAAATGAACAATTTTTGACACAAAGGGAAAGTCCAGTAAGAACAACACAAACACAAGGCTGAGGATATAAACAAGCCAACTTCCAGACTGCCCAAATCCCATGCATTCCTTGCCATCTTCAGTAAGAATGAGCTTACCCAAGCCACCCAGCCCACCTCATTTCAATAACTTCTTTGCATTCTCTTCTTTAAAAAAAACCCAACAACAAATATTAGCTGTACTCCAGGCTACTTCTATCTGACAGCAAAACCTATGGTCCTTTATAAACATAGAATCATAGAATGGTTTGGGCTGGAAAGGGCCTTAAGCTCATGCCGTTCCAACTCCCTGCCATGGGCAGGGACAACTTCCACTGGAGCAGCTTGCTCCAAGCCCCTGTGTCCAACCTGGCCTTGAACACTGCCAAGGGTGGGGCAGCCACAGCTTCTCTGGGCACCCTGTCCCAGCGCCTCAGCACCCTCACAGGGAAGAGCTTCTAGCTTATATTTAACCTAAACTTCCCCTTTTTAAGTCTGAACCCATCACCCCTTGTCCTATTGCTACAGTCCCTGATGAAGAGTCCCTCTCCAGCATCCTTGTAGCCCCCTTCAGACACTGGAAGCTGCTCCGAGGTCCCCACGCAGCTTCTCTTCTCCAGGCTGAACAGCCCCAACTTTCTCAGCTTGAAAACATAAAAATTCATATTTCCAGGGGGAAGTAAAAACAAAATACTGATGTAATAGCTCTACAGAATAAGGAGAAGATGCCATGTTAGAAGCATTGCTCTTTAATGCTGCTAAGTGGAGCTTTACAAAGAGTCAAGAGAAGCTGCCACAGTATCACAACCAACCAGGAGGGCAGTGGGATTTCCAGCATCCTTCAGGAGCTGGATGACCACACCCAATTAATTTACCTTAATTTCTGTTTCAGCTTTCCTGCTCATTAATCAGGAGCTGAGGTTCTCACAGATCACAGTTCCTGGTGTGCAATACCCATGATGATTTTACATAGTGTGCAGTGTACGATCACACTGCATGTGCTGCGAACGCACGCAGCAGATCCAAGGGAAACACCAGAATGTGTCCTACCTATGGAAAAATAGGAAGAGATGTTTCCTCTTTCATACCCAGAGTATCCATGGAACCCCAGTTTTATCAGATCAATACTTTCTACAGTATGTTTCACTCAATAAAGTCAAACAAACCTACCCAGTGACTTCAGAGAGCGATAACAGGACAGCGTCAGGAAAACTCCCTGAGCTACCCTGCAAAGAACTCCTGAACAAGCAGCTGAAATGCACTTGCTCAATGTTTATTACACAGCACTAAGCCAGCGGCAATCAAATCAGGCTGGTTCAATCAATGATCTTCAAATAAGGAAGTAGTTTGAAAATCGTAAGCTTAAAGCACTCTTTTAGGTTTACTTTTTCTGTTTCCTCCCCCCTCTGTTGTGTGAAAGCACATCTGTTAAAAAAGCTGAGCATGTGCTGAAGTATAATTCCATAAAAGTCTACTAATTGAATAGCTGGGATATCAAAATTGTACTTGAATTCAAACACAGTTTGCTGTAAATGCTGTGCCTGCACCACAGAGTGGTTCTGCTGAAAGAATCTGAACTTTCAGAGCAAAAGGTCACTTTTCTATTTAAAAACACCAACCTTAGACACTAAGCTTTTTTCCTGCACAATCAACAAATAAGTAAAATGGAAAAGTGATTCACGAACATCTCCTCCGCTGTCATTTCTCAGAGCCTGAACGCTGCAGCATTTCATGAGGCTGCAGAATAACCTGGAGCAAACAACTAACCTGTGTTCCTGGTCCCAAGTCACTGCCCCTGCCCCTTGTGCAGCAGACACTGCTGCCCCTCTCCTCCCCACCTCAGGGGTTCCTCAGCAGCCTCTGTCAGCTCAACAGACTCCAGCCCAGCTCCATACCAAGGTTTTCTCCTACAGGCAAGGCAGCTGATTTGAGTCCACTTCTGTCGAACAACCACCCCATCCTGCAACACACACTGAATAGCAAAAGCCTCTTGACACAAGGTCCATATTGAGAATGCACATGAGGAGAAACAGCTCATTTTGAAGTGTTGACTCACAAGGATCCTTTTTAACTGATAATGAATGCAACAAAGCAAAAGTACCTACAGAGAATCACTGTAAAGAATACACATACATTCATTTGCAACCTGAAAAGCCTCCTATTGGGAAGATGGAAACAGCCTAGCTCAAGTTTTCCTCGAATCAGATGCCAGAGAAAGTTATACACAAGACAACTTGATTTGACAAACTACAAACCACACATTAATGAAGATACTAACAGTTTGCAGCCTCACTGTGAGTGCAGAAAAGGTATCTGTCAGATATTTGTATGAATTTCAATGTTAAAGAAGAGTTTGTGAACAGGTATTTAGATTTAAAGCACTCTCTGTATTGTTACATTATGCCCTGGGAGCTCAGAATTAGCTAGCTACCAGAAACAACACAGTTTTAAAGACATCAACAGAGATGAACAAGCGTGGTGTATTACTTCACAAGCAACCCATTATCAATGGAGCAATACCAACACGTGTGCACTAATAAATCTAACACAAGATACATTAAACTAATGACCACTAGCAAAATAAGCTACATGACACTGCAGCACTTAAAACACTCGTTGAAGATACGTAAATGGACCGTGGAGCCTGCTTACCCTCACCCAAACAGGAGCACCATAAACTGCAGCCCTAGAATCATAGAATGTTTAGGGTTGGAAAGGACCTTAAGATCATCCAAGTTCCAACCCCCTGCCATGGGCAGGGACTCCTCACACTAAACCATGGCACCCAAGGCTTCATCCAGCCTGGCCTTGAACACTGCCAGGGATGGAGCATTCACAACCTCCCTGGGCAACCCATTCCAGTGCCTCACCACCCTAACAGGAAAGAATTTCTTCCTTATATCCAATCTAACAGCAGGAACCATACCTGCCAGCGTTTATCATGGAAACGACAGTGGCAGAATCTAACAGCCCTGCTGCGCTCTTACCCAGTTCACTTTTAATGAGGCTGCGTGATTAAAACAGGAAAGGTGAGGAGCATCCATCCACAGCCCCCAGCTTCTGCTTTAGATCACTGTACGGCGGGGGGGGCTGTTCGAAAGCCTCTCGGCCACGAAGTGGAACTGAGCACAGCTCTCCTATGGGTGAACCCCAGCGAGGAGCCCACACCAGCACCTCCTGTGCGGCTGTTTGTAAGCAAACATGGCAGCTGGCGCTGGATGTGTGCGGAGCGGAGCTGAGCACAGCACAGCACAGCACACCTACGAGCTCAGGGTTCAAGCGCCGGAGCCCAGCCCAAGGGAGGCCGCTGGGTATGGACAGCAAACCCCACAGCGAACTGCTCTGCCCGGGCTGAGGAAGAGACCTGAAAGCTACTGCTCAGGGGCTACTATGCTTGAGAAGTATCAGCTATAGGATTAGGGAGTTAATTCTGCTTATATTCATGAGGGAAAACACGATTATATATATATATGAAACGAAATACGAAGGGCTTCGTACTTGCCTACTTCTTGCCACACAAACTCGAGTACTACTAGATGACATTCAGCACCTACAGCAAATCACTTCTCGATGTCATTAAAAGGACAGGCACATCTGCCAGCACCAGACCTACGCAGTTACTTCCAACTCAGCCTCGGGAAAGCTGACAGCAACCGAGCTCCCCTGCGCGCTGGAGTTTCACTAGGCCGATACCGGCGCCGTTCAAACGCCTCGCTCGCGAACACATCCGAGGGATAACCCCAATGAACAAACGCCGTTTATCCGAGCTGGGGCAGTGTCCTCGGTTTGCAGCTGAAAGAAACGCGTTCCCCTCCCTTCTCTTCACGTCTACCCTCTGCTGTCCGGTACCTCCAACTTCCCACAGCGCGCTCAGCGAACCCGGGACAGCACCGCACGGAGCCGCTCCTCCTGCAGCCACCACCGCTGCCCCCCATGCCCAGCCTGCAGCCTCGGGGGACCCCCACCGCAGGCACAACCCTGACGGACTGCGCCGGGAGGCACTGCCGGACACCCGGTCCCCCCCGACCCGGCAGTAGCAAAGTGGTTCTTTAGTCCCAAAAACCACTGCCCCCCCCTCCCCGGTGGGACCCGCCTGTCAGCCGGTTCCTCCGCGCTGCCTCTCACCTGGAGCCGGCCAGCGGCAGCGGACACGTCCGGAGAGAGGCGTGAGGAGAGGAGAAGGGGAGGGGAACGGAACGGAGCTGCGCCCGTCCCGCCGCTTCCTGCCACGGCCCCGCCGCCGCCTGAGGTGCGGCTCCCCCTGCCAGGCGCGCCCAAGCACTCGGCGATCGGCTCCACGGCCTGCCCACCGCGGGCGGGAGGGGAGGGAGGGAAGGAGGGAGGGAGCAGCCATCGGCGCTCGGCTACGCAGGGGAGGCGGTGGAGCGGCACCGCCGCATCGATGGGGTATCGGCACTCGACCCAGCGGCCTGCGCATGCCCCGTTAACGGCCGCCATGGGGCCGCCCCTCAGATGAGCCCCGTCAGGGCCTGAGGCGGGTGGTGTCCGAGTTCATAACGGGGCCGGTTTGTGCGTGTGGGGTGGTGTCGGGGCCCACAGCGCGCTGAGGTACGTGAGGGGTCTGTGGCAGCATCAGGTGTGTGAAGAGTGGTGTTGGGCGCAATGAAAAGGCTGCTCTGAGGCTTTAAATAGTTGCTAAGAGGGTGAGGAGAGCTCCGGCAATGCCGGTGGGTGCTGTGGTGGGTTACAGCAGGAGACTCCTAGTAACAAAAAAACCCACCCAGAAAGCTCTGGTCTCACTTAGCAGTGATGTTTCCTTAAGGAGGAAAAGCCCCAAAGGAGAAGAAGGAGCATTAGCAGTGGTTGAGAGGTCTGGTTTTAGCTCAGAGAAGAGACAGGGTAAGGTGGTTTAATGCGATTTCTGCCACACTGTGTTCCTCTACAGCCTCTGAATCTAGACGCAAACAGTTCTTTATAGCTGTTAGAGACTCACAGTGGTTTATTTCCTTTTAGTTCTTTTTTAATGGCTTGCCTTTTTCTGCTAAAGAAAACTGAAGGAGCAGATCTTTATCTTCTATCAGCACCTCATGCAACCTCACTCTACTACTTGTTTCTAACAGCTGTTCTCGTAACACCATCATCATACAGCCTTTTGAAACCTAAGGTACAGAAACTTGAAAGCTATGTGTTCCAGGCA